TCTACAAGCTCATATGTGTGGTTCTCATGCAAGGACGTCATCTCATCTTGCATGGCATCGTACCACTTCTCGCGGTGCACATGTGACATAGCCTCATCATATGTCTCTGGCTCTCCTCCATCTGTGACTAACACAAAATCATCCTCTGAGAGTCTCGTGGAAGGTTTTCTGACTCTGGTGGATCTTCTCAACTGAGGTGCTGGAGGCGGCTCTGAGTGTGGTTGTGACTCTAGAACACCATCACCACCATCATCATGATTATCATCATCATGATGGTCATCTGCAGGGGACTCAACTGTATGATCATGCATATCTCCCCCATGATCTTGAGGGACTACAACAGGAGGAAGAGATGGAGCTGGATCAATTGTGATGCATGGAGAAGGATTTGCCTGCTTCTTCTCACAATCTTCAATAGTCTGATCTTCATAGAAAACCACATCTCTGCTTCTGATCACTTTCCTATCACGTGGATCCCATAGTCTGTACCCAAACTCATCCTCTGAATACCCCAAAAATATGCACTCTTTCGTCTTCCTATCAAGCTTGGATCTCTCATCTCTGAGAATATGAACAAATGCTCTGCAACCAAAGACTCTCAAATGCTTATAGGAGACATCTTTCCCTGACCAAACTCTCTGAGGAACATCACCTTCAAGAGGAACTGAAGGGGAAAGGTTAATCAGGTACACTGCAGTGAACATTGCCTCCGCCCAAAAGGACTTTGGCAGCTTAGCATGAGATATCATACACCTGATTCTCTCTTCAATTGTTCTGTTCATTCTTTCTGCAACTCCATTAAGCTGAGGTGTCTTCGGAACTGTCTTCTCAAGCTTGATGCCCTGGCTTTTGCAATAGTACTCAAATGGACCCCTGTACTCACCACCATTGTCTGATCTGACACACTTGAGCTTTCTACCACTTTCTCTTTCAACTCTAGCATGAAACTCCTTAAAAGCTTCAAGTACCTGGTCCTTATGTTTCAAAACAAAAGCCCATATTTTTCTAGAAAAATCATCAATAAAAGTCACAAAATATTGTGCACCACGGTGTGATGTAGCATCCATAGAGCAAACATCAGTATGAACAAGATCTAAAGCATGCTTTCTTCTATGTGGGGGACGAGTATGAAATGCAACTCTATGTTGTTTTCCAGCTAAACAATCAACACAAGAGTTTAAAGGCATACCTGAAATGTCAGGGAGATAATCTTTCCTCGAAAGGATATGCATGCCCTTTTGACTCATGTGGCCAAGCCTCTTATGCCACAAATCACCGGAGGCATCATCTGCTACATTGGCATCTCCGCTACATACTCTGGCCTGCATAACATAAAGTGAATTCTGCTTCTTACCTCGAGCCATAATCAAACTGCCCCTGGAGAGTTTCCATCTTCCATCACAAAATTTGTTGGCATACCCTTCATCATCAAGCAGACCAGCTGAAATCAAACTCAATCTGATATCTGGGACGTGCCTCACATCCCTGAGCACCAACCTGCAACCAGTGGAAGTCTCTAAACAAACATCACCCATACCGATGATCTTAGACGAACCATCATTTCCCATCCTCACGTGGCCAAAGTCACCACTAGTATAGGATGAGAAGTACTCCCTGTGTGAAGTAATATGATAAGATGCACCAGAATCAATCACCCAGGTGCAGTCATCACAGGCTACATTTAATAGTCCATGATCACCGATAACAAATAAATCATCATCACTAGATGCCAAGGCTGTAGTGTTCTTCTCTTCTGGCTTCTGCTCGAAATTCTCATTTTTATCTTTTCTCTCCCTGGACATGTCCCTCTTTTTCTTTCTGCAGAATCTCTCAATGTGACCCGGCTTCTGACAATAATGGCAAATAAAATCTCTTTTTCTGGATTTTGATCTCCCCCTGGACTTGTCTCTATGGTGAGGATTTCTGCTCTTGCTTCTCCCCCTGCTGGATTCTGGAATCACATTTGCTTC